TTTATCAATTAATTTATAAAATCTATCAATACATGTACACTTTAATCCATTAATTTATAAATTTTAATCCATCAATTTATAAATTTAAGGAAAAATTAACCCTTAAATTATAAAAAAGGATATTTTTAATAATTTTATCAATTAATTTATAAAATCTATCAATACATGTACACTTTAATCCATCAATTTATAAATTTTAATCCATCAATTTATAAATTTAAGGAAAAAAAATAAATTGAAGGATTAAAAGTATATATATGAATAAATTTTACAAATTAATTAGTAAAATGATTAAAAAATATTTTTCATATTTTAAGAATAAAAAATATAAAAAATAATTTAAAAAGTTAAAAATATTTAAAAATAAAATTTTGAAAATTTAAATTGACATTTAACTAAAATAAAAGATTAAATTAATTCAGTTTCAGATACGAACAAATTAAACCAACAAACAAACAAGGCTTAAAGGCAGAAGATACGATTTTGCTAACATGCGCTGGATATCAGAACGAACCTGGTGCAATGTACCCGTAAGATCCCGCGACCACCGACATGGACTCGTCGCTTTGAATCAGCTTCGCCACCCCGAAATCCGCTACCCTGGCTTCCATCTCGCCGTCCAGTAGGATGTTACTCGGCTTGAGATCGCGGTGGACGATCACTGGATGACAGTCGTGGTGGAGGTAGCAAATCCCGTGCGCCACCCCAAGAGCTATCTTGTACCGGGTAACCCAATCCGCCGCCAGATTATCACTCTTGTTTTTGCCGTGCAACAGATCGTCGAGGTTTCCGTTGGGCATGTATTCATAGAGCAGCATCGTGCACTCCCTGTTGCTGCAGCAACCTAACAATCTCACGATATTACGGTGGCGCACGTTTCCAAGCACGTCCACTTCGGCTAGGACGCCTCTCCGCCGTGAAATGTTCTCCTTGTGCTTGCCCCACAGTTTCTTCACCGCTATGATCTCGCCACTTGGCATTTCGGCTTTGTAAACGGTTCCTGTGGACCCCATACCGATGATCTCATCTGTCATTGACAAACACTCTAGTATATCCTCCGCCGTGAAATTTAACCGCTGGAACGCCGTCAGTTTCCACGGCCCGATTTCTCGGTCGTCGCTGAATTTACGGGTGTAGTTGGCGTGGAAATACCTAGTTCCGGCTACGAGAACAAACAGACCAATGCCGAATGCCGCCGCCATGATCCAGACGATGGCGCCCGCGGTCTTCTTGGGTTCTTGCTGCCCCGAACGGACTTCGACGTCGTCCGCGCCTAAAGTGTCAGCCGGGCACGGCTTCGCTATTATCCTGCCGCAGAGTCCTTCGTTTCCGGAGAATGAGGACGGGTGCAAATTTGGAAATATGGTGCCGGATGCTGGAATCGGTCCGGTGAGTAAGTTGTATGAGACGTTGAAATTCATGAGTGTGGTACTGTTTTGGAAGTTCGATGGAATGGTGCCGGTGAGCAGGTTGTGGGAAAGATCTACGTCGGAAATAGAAGGAAGCGTAGAGATTTCCCACGGGATTGTTCCTGTAAGCAAATTCCGGCTTAAACCCAAAGAGATGAGTTTCTCACAGTGGCCGATGTCCCAGGGAATGCTGCCGTTGAGCTTGTTATCCTGCAATTGAATACTGTAAACGCTCCTGCAGTCCACGAAATCCGGAATTTTCCCGATGAGTTTGTTAGAAGCAGCAGAGAAAATTTGCAGAGTCGGCGCGCTCCATATGTTTTCCGGTAATGGGCCTTGGAGGGAGTTCACTGACACGTTCAGGTGTTGCAGACTCTGTGCATTGGCCAGATCCCAAGGAATCTCTCCGCTGATGTTATTCCGGCTCATGTCAACGAAGGTCAGGTTCGGCAGGCGCCAAAACCCAGTCGGAATAGTTCCGTTTAGTCGATTATTCTGTATTCTGACTCTTGAAAGGGACGTGCAGCTCACGAGGCTACTTGGAAGCTCATTCGTGAACAAATTGTTGAAGAGAAGGAGCTTGAACATCATGTTTCCGGCACAAAGATTCGGAGGGATTGGACCAGAGAGCGAATTTGATGAAACATCGACATGGAGCAATTTTCCACTGGAGCCCAATTTCTGAGGAAGAAAGCCCGTGAAGTTGTTGCCCCAGAGGAGCAAAGTGTTGAGGTTTGGAAGCTCACCGATTCCATCCGGTATCGTGCCGGACAGATTGTTGCCAAGTAAACTCAACCAGGTTAGCTCTGTTAAAGAAGAAATTCCTTCTGGAATTTTACCGGTAAGCTGATTAACCGATAAATCCAGACCTATCAAAGCTTTGAGATTTTTGAAACTCCCTGGGATTTCACCGGTGAGCGTGTTGTTAAAAAGGAACAATCTCTCAAGTTTGGTTAAATTTCCCAGTTCTGGAGGCAGAGGAGCGGAAAGTTTACAGTATGAGATATCCAAGTACTTGAGATTGGATAGAAGTGAAAATTCTGCTGGTATACCGCCGGAGAATCTATTGTAGCCGATCTCCATTCTCTCTAGCTGGGCCAAGAATCCTAACTGAGGCGGCAAAACGCCTTCCAATACATTTCCGGCTAAATGTATGAGCTTCAACCTGGACATGCTCCCATAGCCTGCTGGAATTTCACCTTCAAAGTAGCTTCCTCCAAGATTGAGCTGCTCCAGGAACCGTAGATGCACAAATTCTTGAGGTAGTCCCCCCGTGAAGCTGTTACTGTACCCATTGAAGATTCTCAAGAACTTGAGCTTGGAAATCCCACGTGGGAATGTTGAATTAAAGCTGTTACGGCTGATATCGAGAACTCGAAGCTGCGGTAATTCAAAAATGATGGACGGAAAAGGCCCAACAAATGAATTCGAACTCAAATTCAAGTGAATCAAACTAGACAAGTATCTGGTTTCTACTGGAATAGTTCCGGAGAGGTTCCGCCGTGATAGATCAAGCGTCGTGATCTCAGACGTTGTTCGGTTGCATTTCACCCCAGACCAAGAACACCAAACTGGGTTTTCGTAACTCCGGTCGGAGAAAGACAGATTGGGGTCCCAATCCTTGAAGGTGGACAAAGGACCAACGAGGGAGGATTTGATGGAGAGGAGGGCAATAAGAGGTAGAGGAGGAGCGGAGGCGGAGAAGACAATTACAGATTTTCCAAGAAAGCAAAAGGAAAAGGAAAGAAAAAGGAGGAGACCATAGGAAGGTTTCATGGTTATGGAGAAGTGGGGATGGAAGGGGATTGATGTTTACAGAGGTAAATTTAAGGGAAGGAAGGTTTTGATGAGGAAGATGATGCTTTTTGGGAGTGCTGGGGTGCAGAGGATGTAATTCATCATCATCATCATGTTCCTTGATGATGATTTTTTTTCTTTCAATTTCCCCGGTGGGTATGTGAGAGAAGAAAAATGAAAGAAAGTGAGAGAAAATTGTGATGGTTTGTATCGTATTTGTATATACTTTTGGATTTTCTGGGAATTCTTTTCTTTCGCTCTTTTCTTTTTCGGTTTCCACTTTTCATCATTCCTTGTTTCCTTTATCTTTGCTAAAGGTTTAATGGCAACATAAATCCCTAAACATATGAGAAAATGGCAAATAAAGTCCTAGATCAATTTTTTGTGACAACTTGATTTCCTATTTTGTACCATTTTCTACTGTTGTTGGGATATTTCCCATTTGTTACCATAAAAATTGAGATTATTTAATTTAACTGTTTTAAATAATTGATAATTATAGTTATTATTATAATTAATTATTGATATTTATTATTTAAAGATCTTAAATAATTTAAAATTAGTATATAGTCTTATATTTTCAAAAGCACTAATTAATTATTTAAATAGAAAAAACTATAAATTAATAAGTTTATTTAAACCAAACACACATTAATTTAAGATTTTTTTTTGCTATTTCCCGATTTTCATGCCATTAAGCTTTTGCCAAACAAAGAAGCATTCATTTTTTATAATTCTAAACTTATCTAACAGGATCCGAGAAATCTGATCATTTTGAATTTAGTTTTGATTTTTTTTCACTATAAAATTCTTCCAATAAATCTTATTCTGTCAATTGCCAAAAAAAAAAATCTTATTATACCTATGTATCATCAAATAAATAAATACATATAATATTATACATTCTACACAAATTAACAATATATTTAGGTTGAGAAAAATGAAAGAGGAGGAAAGGAAGAGGAGGGAAAAATAAATAAATAGATTAAAAAAATAAAACAAACAACTTCCTCTTTCTTCCATTTCTTCCAATTATTTTAATAATTAAATAAATAAATTTTTTCCTTCTCCTTTCATTTCCTTTAATGCAAACATACTCTAAAAGAATCAACAAAAATTACATAGCATTATGTTATAAGATTTTATTGTAAAAAAATATTTTCAATAAATCATTTTCCTTTTAATTTCCCAATTCCTACCCACATTGCCTGCCTCGTGTGTTAAAAATGAATTTCCTGAGTTTTTGACCTTTAGTTTTTCTGTTCCTTTTTTAAATTCCCAGTTTGGAACTTCAGGTGGGAGAGCGTCTGGAATTCTTGGATATTTAGCATGCGTATAAATAAATTTGATTAAAGAACACCATCTTATCTTTCCAAATGATTGAAGACTACTGATAATGATACTGTACAATATAGGGAAGTATTTGGGGACTATCTTATCTGAAGATATTCAACTTTTTTGTATAGTATTTTTTTTAGGATTTGAATTATAAAATAAAAACTCATAAACAAAGAGGAACTCAATATTAAGAAATCTCAAACTTTATCTAAAGGTAATTATTTTACAATTTAAAATCATACAAATCATAAAATAGGTTTTCTCTTTTCTAAGTATTATTATTATTATTATTATTATTATTATGAGTTGCATAATAAGAAGTAATTGTTTTTCATTCTTTAATTTACACCATCCGTATGTCATGTGATTTTAACTCAAAATCTTTTATTTTTAATAAAACAATATTACTATTAAGTTATTTAGATAGTTAATAAGTATTTTTATTATTATTATTATTATTATTATTATTATTATTATTTTGAACATTTCTAAGTATACTGTTTTATGGATTCATATACCACACAAGATTAAATTAAATTGTCAAACATCAATTTAATATACTCCTATATAGGAGAGGATTTACATATGACAAGGCCGAACTTTCTCTAGTAGATTATGGATTAGTTGTTGGTTAACAGCTTCAGCAATTTTTTGCTTTGTGTTAGATTGTTTATTTTTGTTTGTTTTTTCAGGCTGTGTTATTTTATGTTGGATGGGATTGTAAGCCAACTTTATGTTTTTAGTATAATATATATAATTCTCTGATTTAATGGCTTAAAATTTTTTTAAAGAGATTATATACATGTGGTTAACCTTAAGAGTTGGGTTAACGTTTTATAGATTAAATTCAGAATTTAAGTTTCAAAATTAATACCCAAAAAAATTAATTTTTTTGAATGCATTAGTTTCGTTGTGAGGATGTGTTTTTAAAATAATCAAGGAGGGATGTGTATAAAACCTTATATGAGAATATCCTGAACTTAAATGTTTGGGGAAAAAAAGGAAAGAAAGAAGGAAATAAATAGAGAAATACCGTAATGGTTGCTTAGGAATTAAAGATCCTATATGAATACGTTTATTCAATCAAGATGAATTTTGGAGTAATTGTGTCTTACCTTCCAAGGGGGCAAAAAATTCAATGTTTCCCAAGTAATATGACCCAAATCAATTCCGGGATAATTGATTCCAAATGGAGAAAATGAAAAGAAAATTGTTTAGTCGACAATTTTTGTATATTAATTTTTTTTGTAAATTTATATGTTATTTATTGGTATTAACTATTTTTATTTAATTAAAATTTATAATATTATATATACCTTTACTTATTTATTAATATATAAAAATTATAAAAATAAATTATTTGTATATCGTTGCCCAAATAGAAACCTAGCTTTCCTTGACATTTCTTTGATGCTTCTTCTTCCTAGGATTCAAATCAATCAATAATAATGGCGGAATTCCAAAATATTCTGTTAGGCCGGGAAAACTCTCTGCAAAACAAACAAGATTTTTATATACTTAGAATCTTGGTACAACATATCCCCTTTAGAAATATTTTTCATTCCAAATGCATTTAAAAATATTAGTCCTAGGTAAGCAATCAAAAAAACAAAAAAAAAAAAAAAATTATTGAGTAATTTACATTGTAATAGATTATATAGCATAAATTATTATATAAAAGTGGCACCTAACCATTGCATCGAGTAGTTTTTGTCACTTTAACAAAATACAATTTTTCTTGGGGTTAGGTTCAAATCTCATAATACTTTGTTTAAAAAAAATATTATATAAAAATAAGTTTTTTTAATAAAATATATAATTTTAAAATTTAATATAATTTGATAAAATTTTCATTTTTATAGTTTAATATTGACCAAACTATGAAATAAAAAACCCTCAAAAAAAATCTCTTTAATTTGGGAAGGAACTGCGGCCTGGAGGCAGATTGGGGAAAAAAGTTCTCCCACTCAAAACTGTGGACAAATACAGCAGGCTATACAGCTAGAATATGCTTGCATTACTCATTGCATTTTTTTCCTTTTTTCCTGGTGAGTTTGACTTTGGTAAAGTTATATCCACGGTGTTCATTAACTAATAATTTGTACTACATTTATGCTGCAATCCTACTACTTATTTGTTAAGATAAAAAAATGTTGGGAACACAATCTTCCCTTCCCCATTTTATAATTCCGGATTTTAGCATAACTCACATGGATTTTAGCATAACTCCATCCAACGCCTTTTTCCACAAAAATCCGTGTCAATTTATATTTTAAGATTTATATTTTATAGCCTAAATTATACTGAATAATAAGAGAAAATATATAAATAAAGATTTTAATTTTTGTATTTTTTATTTAAAAATATTAATTTTATTAATTTTTAAATAAAAATATTAACTTTTAATATTTTTATTTAAAAATATTAACGTTTTTTAAAAAATGCATTTGTCACATTAGCATCATTATTTAATTAATCATTAAATAAGAAAAAATAAAAAATTATCATATTTAAATAAAAAGAGTTATAAGTCGACATCTTTAATAAAAAAAATTAAAAATTAACATTTTCATTTAAAAATTAATAAAATTAACATATTTAAATAAAAAAAGTACAAAGTTAATATCATTATTTACACATTTTCTTATAATAATAAAAGTGAAACTATTGGATGGAGAGACAACCATTAATATTAAGGGGTTTGCTTCCAATTCAATAGTTTAAATTATATAATTTGAATTATACAACACTATTTTGTTATAGTTTTGACATTAATACAGATATCATTGATTTCAGCACACTCTACAACATATTTATTAAAAAATTATTATTTTTAAATTTAAATTAAACGCATAAAAAATTTGAAGTAATATATTTTGATGATTAAATCAATACGTATTAGTATATGTATTAAATTAAAAAATATATCATTCATTTTCCTCTAATTTTATATTACAATTTGTGAGGATTTAGATGTAGCGGGTGGATGTAGGGATAGAGATCATAATTAGAATTACTCCTTCTATTTCAAAGTATAAATCGTATGAACTTTTGTAAGAAATTTTAGATAATACTTTTATATATCCTATATTAAATAAAAGTTAGATTAAATTAGTATCTATTAATTTAAATTTTTTAATTTAAAATCAAAATTAAGAGTTTAAATCTCTATGATATTAAATAATTAACTCTCTAACATACCAAAAGAAAAATTAAAAAGAACAATAATTGAAAATTTTTTTATCAAATAAAACTATTTAAGGATGAAAACAAAAAATTACTCAACGACAATTCGTACAGTGAAAAAGAAGATTTCAATTACCATCTATATATTGTAAAAAAAATATTATTTAAAAATACATATAAAGAATTCAAACGACTTATCAAAACAAAGATGGTGTTACTTGTATGATTTCAAATCAAAATAATACTACTGGTCTTTTGCATGTCTATTGTGATTGTTATTAAGATATAAGAAAATGAGTGATACACACTTTTCTTCAATATAACTGTTAATATTTATTGTTTTAATTATTAAAATATATTATTTTTTATTTTTTATTTAAGTTAAAAAATAATAATTTTTTATTAAATATATTATAAAATATACGAAATTAAAGAATATCTGTACCAATGTACTAGGATATAAAATCAAAACAAACCAGAGATGCAACTACCAAACAGATTTCAGGAGGGAAAAGTTTTGTAGTTCCAAGCTTTCGTCACCTAACCAAAGAAACAGCTCACTTTTCCAACAGAATGTTCCCTACACAAAAATAATAAAATTCCATTTGTTAAATCAATATTAAATTAAATTGGCAAAAAAAAAAAAAAACATAGTTTTAATTAGGTGGG